AATTTTATTACTCCATCTTACTTCCTTTATGTCTAGCTTCAAATTTTATTTCATTTTTTTGTTACTATCATACTATACTACTTATTTTTCATACAGTTGGTTAATATATTCATTCTGTACAAATTCAGTATAGATAACTTGTATTATGTTTTACATTATCTATAATCGACTTTATATTTATTAATCAATAACCTTGTAGAAACTATTAATCAGCCCTAAAGTACAATAATCCTCTGATAAATCAAAACAGATAATATAAGTTATATTCACACACACATATACACACAAGAGAAGTATCTGTACCTAGTTTTCTTTTAAAAACAAGTTACTAAAAACATTTTTCTTCTGTAAAGCATGTTTACTTTAAATGTTGAATTCTATTTTACATGTAATAACAAGAAAACTATGAATAAAATTAAACTTTCTAACCAAAATAGGTGTATCGTCGGCTTTGATAATCCCTTTTTTTTAAAGAAAAAAACTGTATCTGAATGTCAATGAGTGAATTTTTTAGACGCCCATCTATTTAATTCACTTGGTATTGTTTTACTTGAATCTAACCATTGATGTTTAGGACTGCAATTGATCAGTCTCTTATTGACATATGTGCATACTGCGCATATTGCCTTAATTCACAAGCATTATAAGCAAAGATGGATAGTAGCTAGCAGTGGAATCCAGGACGCGCGTTTTGTCCTATTTCGGACTAGTCAGATGGATGCACCTGCATCCCAGAGTTGATGTTCACTCAGGGACTCAAACCCAGTACCGTTTATTCAAACGCGATCCACTTAGAACGAGGCGTCCTGATAGCCACTCGGTAGCTAAGTGGATAACGCGATGGCGTTTGAAGCTAATGGTACTGCGTTCGAGTCTCAAAGTGGACATCAACTCTGAGATTCAGGTGCATCCAGCTGACGAGTCCCAAATAGGACGAAACGTGCGTACTGGATTCCACTGCTAGCCACTATCCATCCTTGTTTACAGTGCCCATCTATTTGCTTAAAATATTCACATAAGAAATTTAAAAAAAAATTTCCTTATGAAATTTATATTTCATTGTAAAATTTTCTTATTAGTAATATTAGAATATAAACAAAAAATTTTCATTTTCAATATTAATATCCCATAAATAAGAACTCTCGTCTAAATTTGATCGAATTGTTTCATAGTATTTGGGCGCAGAGTTAATGTGAGACATTTGTAGTGACCCACTTTTATCAACAGAACGCGATTGGTGTAATGGAAACAATTACTATTATAACCAATTGTACCAGGGATTGTTTTACTGTACTAAAAATACACATTCTTTGTTGCTTGTGACGTTGCACGAACTTACGTTTACTCAGTAGTTCCACTTGTACTCGTTTGTCACGATCTCGGTATTATTTTGATACCACAAGATCGCCAACAAATATATCTTCCTACAACCTTCGATCGCCTTCTGATTTCTGGTTCACTCTGAGGTTTAGCCTGTCCTGGTAGGCAATCTCCTTGTAGTGATGATCATAGTCAACTGTGACTCGACGCCACACTACACATTAAAGAGGAAGAATATATTTTGTAAAATCTCAGCGAAAGAATTTGAAGTAAATTCAACGTTTCGCCTAACAATCTAGTCCAAGCTTTTTTAAGGATTGCCAGGCGAAACGTTGAATTTACTTCAAATTCTTTCGCTGAGATTTTACAAATACATTCTTCCTCATTTATAGAGCATGTTTAAATATGGAAGACAAATTTTTCACAGTTAACCAATTTAGATATAGTTTAACACTCAAGTTACCAGTTCGTAATTATTAAATAGTTGATTATATTTATTAGTGAATATTATTACATGTATTTAATAAGCTCAAACTGGAGCATTTGATTTTTTTATTTAAAGTATCAATTAAATAGGCTGTATAACAACCTCAATAGATGTAATCCAAAAGTAATCAGTGACCAAAGTAGGTTTGAATGTTATTTGATCCCTCAGTATTCTAAAGCTCATGTTAACCACTAGTTTCGAATTTAGGCATAATAAATTTATGAACCGAATCTACTTTGTTATCCATCTCAGTTCCATATATGACTATGCATCTCTTCAATCTCCCTTTAATAAAAGCACTTTTCTAACAGAGGCTATATACACGCGAATGTGTAAGAATATTTGAAGGTGAAACGGGGTTTCTTCACCAATTTATAACACGGTGCTATAGGGCAAATGATAGCTGTTTGGGGTTAAGGCATCATACCTCGCTACAGCCCTAGAGATCATACAGTCCAGTTGTTTGAGACGTTATCAATTATAGTCATAAATGAAAGCTAATTAAGGTATGGCCTTGACTTTTTATTTCATTCTGTAAATAAGTGAGATGGACATTTTTAGCAAAATAAAACTATCTTATTTGTGTTTTTGACTAAAGTGTATTCTTTTAGTATGTTCTGTCTTTATTTATTTATTTACTGAGTAGCTTTAACCATAAATTTAGTTTAACATTCACGGCTAAGTCATTAATACTGATTTTATGATAACAAATGATTTCAGTGTAATACACAGGCCTAACTTGAACAACCGATTCCATTTTAAACATCGTTACCTTTGGGAGACGTAACAGACGTCTGATTAAATTTGATTGGAAATAGTATAGTTTCCACTACGTGAACTTGTAAAAGTTTTTCGTTCATCGAGGGGGCAACTAACATGAGATCAAAATAAGTAGGAAATTAGCTGTTGTGACCTAGCAAATCAGTTCATCTTTGTTTATAAACACCTTATCTAATTAAAATTCGGTTGAAATTACCAAGTTATAGTACTCAAATCAGAACTTTATGTTTAGATCAATGTTTTAATTTACATTTTAACTAAGGAAAGTTCTGAAAATCTTTACTAATGAAAATATCTGAGATCGAAAAAACTAAAACAGCTGTTGAAAACAAGAAATAACTTGACGACTATTTCCTCCTAGTAGTAGACTTCTAGCAGCGCCCTTCTACAACCCCACCGCGATTAAGCCCGAAAACTTCAAACATCACTGAGATAGTTTAACCATCAGATAAGACATAAGAAATTAGGTTTCTAAACTAGGGAGTCATTTAAAGAAATAATACATTGAAAACATCACTCCTCAGATTGTGAAACCGTTGAAGATAGGGCCATGAAGAACATAAAGATGTTACTAGTGTAGGATCAACCACTGAGATGTACTTCACATGAAACGTCTTAATTATAGAACTGTTTGTGCTTTCCAAATGACTATGTAGATGGTTGTTAAAAACAAAATCCCAGCGACTCCAAATGCTTAAGCGACGAGAAATTAGTTACATTCGGAGCAACTGTATATACTGATTACAAAGTACTTCCGAAGATGTTTTAAGAAAACGAGATTTGTAAAATGCCATGAATCAGTATTTAAGAAGATTAAAAACAAAATTTACGGCAAAGGGATCTCTTTTCAAAGAATTAATCATCAAACTTTACGATTATATATATATATATTGATTCTGTGAGCGCATTTGAACCATAAATAAACATGATGAAGTAATAGAAAGATTACGTAGTGTAAACAATAACAACAAAAGAGAGTGTGTCTGTGTGTGTGTATGTATATGTGGAAATAAAAAGCCTTACAAACTTAATAAGTCAATAATGAATTGTAATTTGAAGGGAGTGAGATAGTTAAAACGTTTTTGTTACACTAATTAAAGATATTCGAGGGATTCAATGAAATAAAGTGATATCAGAAACAATTATGAATAGAATTGTGGGGATATGCGAAACACATAAGGAGTGATAAATACTATCAAATACGAAATCAATGGAACCAAAATGTGATAATATTTCAAGACCACTGTGAAGATAACGATAAGAATACTTGTTTTGTACGCACAGTTCCCGTTTCGTTTTATGGATGCTAAAAGATTCTGATGTTTTAAGTAGTTGAGCATGAAAACGTTTGAGTAGATTTGTACGTATTCTATAAACAACCATAAAACCAACCTGTAGTGATTAGAATAAATTAGATCGAAACCGCCTCACTTATCTGCAGGTTGTTTATCGAATACGTACAAATCTACTCAAACTATTATCACATTTTGGTTCCATTGATTTCGTATTTGATAGTATTTATCACTCCTTATGTGTTTCGCATATCCCCACAATTCTATTCATAATTGTTTCTGATATCACTTTATTTCATTGAATCCCTCGAATATCTTTAATTAGTGTAACAAAAACGTTTTAACTATCTCACTCCCTTCAAATTACAATCCATTATTGACTTATTAAGTTTGTAAGGCTTTTTATTTCCACATATACATACACACACACAGACACACTCTCTTTTGTTGTTATTGTTTACACTACGTAATCTTTCTATTACTTCATCATGTTTATTTATGGTTCAAATGCGCTCACAGAATCAATATATATATATATATATATATATATATATATATATATAATCGTAAAGTTTGATGATTAATTCTTTGAAAAGAGATCCCTTAGCTGAATTTCGTGTTTCCCTTTCGAATTACGTCTTTTCAGAAATCGATATGCCTTAGTTTTTGTAAAATCTAACTTTGATAAACTCAATGTAAGTATTTATTGTGAAGATTAATTACAATAACAGAAATTATCTGAATAAAGAGAGGCAGTTACTTAAATCTAATTTAATAATAATAATTATTTATTGTACAATCAAAATGATTATCTAACCCAGAAACCACTGACACCTTCATTTACTTAAGTTTGATTGATCACTTTTGTGTATTACGGCTATAAATACTCCTCGGTTTTCTCAACTAAAATAACTAAATAACAATTTAAATACACAACCTAAAATTTGATAATTAAGTATTTTACCTGCTAACTTGATCGTCAAGATCTCTACACACAATGTAAGTGTACAAATACACAAATAATTGACCTACCTGAATTCATTACACATATACAAATTATCAATACTTTTCTTTAGAAAAGAATACGTTTATGAAAATGGTCTAGACAAAGAAATAAAGTCTATGCACAAAATGTTTACTATTACACATAAACAAGAAAGTGGTACACTTAGAAATTTTTAAAACGATATTAATTCATATAAATAGAAAAGTATTATGTCAATACTTTTTAGAAGAAATAAACAAAAAGGAAAAAAAGAAAAGAAGAAGTATGTTTTCACTAGTTTAGAGATTGTATCATAATTTTATGTATACATTCTCGTATTATTTGTCATTGTAAAAAATATACATTTTACATATATCTTTATAATATTCAAGATATTGTCAGTTAATGGTTGAAAGAACCAAATAATATAGATTAATCTCATTCATCCTTTTTAATATTTCCATTTGTATGAATGTCTATTGAATTGTCATCGGTCTAAATTAAAAGAAAAAAAAAAAGAAACAGAAAATAAGTGCGTTAAGAGTAGAAATGCGAAAAATAAACAAAACAAGAAATTACTTCAGTACACAAACATATACAAATTTCTTAAATGATTAATATACACACAATAGTTAATAATCAGTGATTAGTTAACACGAATATCTCAGTCAGTTAAACAGGTTGATTGTCACCCGAATAGCTCAATGGTAACAATTCAGACTCATACTGTGTGATGATAGCTAAAATCCTACGTATCATCCACCTCACAATTATAGATATCCCTTATTAACAAGTACCAGCTAGCATCGAACCTAGGACTAATGTTTTCTGTTGATTCCCATTCAACCATACAACATTGTTGCAAGCAAATAACCTAGGAAAATGGGAAAGTAGAGAATTTTTTCAATATGAAATGAACAACTAACGGTTGTGATACAGTTGTTGATACATTTTCATAAAATCAATAGAATTAGTACATCCATTCAATATAAATAATAATTGAAAACTTAATTCGCAATCAATATGAACATTTTTCTATTCATTTAGTAATTATGTTCATGATTTACGTAATAATAAGATTTATTTACAAAAGTAGCTTCAGCATGATTGTGATGTATTGTAACTATCCATTCATAGAAAAAAGCCCACAGCTGAAGCTCCATGTGATACTTCACATGACACTCTTCTCATTAAACATTCAACCTTGGAGATCTGAAAACACTCAAGTTCTAGTGTTTACACCATATAAAACAGCGTAAGAAAAATACAACAGTTACGAAAATTCAGTAGGAATAGACATATGAGCAGAGAGATGAAGACAAGTATTAGTAGGCCGATACTATGTATTCTAAACACAAGAGAAGTTAGTTGTTTCACAGGATTGTGATGAATTCTAATTTAGAGCACTTTGAAATATTAATCACTGAATTCCAGTCTCTTGAAACCAGAATCCATATAACTTACAATTCCCTTTGTGATTGACGTTAAGCAACAACAATTAGCCTAGCAGTTTACGACTCTCACATTCATCATCACAGTTCAGTTAGCTATAAATGTCTACATCTAATAAAAGTGTCTAAAATAAAGCTGTAGTGGAATATTTTTACCGATCGTTACTGAATTTAATAACTTCAAAGTCATTTTATTCATTGTTATTAAAGTTATGGAGAGAGTTCGATTTATGCAACAAACAGAAAGCCCTAAACCTAGTAGTTTTATTTCTTAACATAACTTATTCATCGGGTAAAGGTTTATTTATTTAGCTGGGTGTTACACTTATTTATGAGCTCTGGTGATTCTACCAATCTCCCCAATACTTGAGTTAAGTGAGAATGGTATCTCTAACCTAACAGTTGTAAACCGAGTTTTGGCTACTAGGTCGTGACTGCACTTGGAACGATTCACACCTATTCGAAATAATTATGTGAAAATTATATTTGAAATAACCTCAGCGATTGAAATTTAAATAATATATATAATTTTCACATATAACGACTTCTCTATACTCGGCGCCCAATTTTTGTCAAACTATTCGTTCTAATCTTTACGAGTATTCGTATAGATGCATGGGTTGTCTCCAACACATTCAGTCGTTAGTAATAATATTAAATACTACTAATTCATATGAGTACCGATCAGTATTAACCTGCTTTCACTATCCTAACTACTACGTGAAATGTGAAGACTGAGTGATTATCACTACTTTACACACACACACACACACACACACTGAATCTACGCCAATGAAGTCAATTCGTAAGGATGTTTCAAGCTTCTTACATGTTACACACAATTTATACAATTCGCATGACTGAAGTGCATCCATTGTAAAGGGAATAAACTTTAAGTATTTGAGAAAACGAACAACCACCCACTAACAGTTCTAGCGAAAGCAAGGTATATTAAACGATTGCAGTTGTTATAAATAAATAACTTTTTAGAACGTCACATAAACTGTTACTATTTACACCGAGAAATGATGTCCATCAGATAATATCAACAAACACTTGATCCTTTATATTGACCAATATGAATAACAGTATACAAAATTCCGACAAGGAAAATTCCCAAATAGTAAATCATAAAATAGAACTAGCTAACTGACCAATAATATCAAAGGTCAAACAAGTTATACGGTCAAGGACTATAACTGCTTAAAAATCAGACATAGGAAATGTAAAATTTATACAACGATAACAATCTCAAATGACAACCAATCATAAGTAAGGTCATGGGGAAAAAAAACTTATTTGACATATGTAAAGGTTAAATAAACAGACTCATCTAATTACTTTATAACAGCAGTTCAGAAAAAAAACGTTACAATGAATACAATTTTTCTTTTCAAAGAAATTCCTTCCTTTGAAGTGATTGATATTTCATATCATGCATACACAGTCTACAGTATATTGAATGGATTTTCATTCATAATTTGTGTTGTTCACTTAATCTTGTAACATGCAATATTTTCCATATGCAAACTCATAAATATGGCAGAATGAGACGTTTATTGAGAAATACACTTAGGAGAAATAATAATTTTTCTTGTTTATTTCGTTCTCTCTAAACGGTTACAAGTCTTTAGAACGCTGTTTATAAATATGATAATTAGTATAATCTTAAATAATTAGAATAGTGTATACACGTTAGGATAAGAAGCCAAAACGTGTTCGAGATTGTTTTGTTTTTACTTATCCATTAGAATAAATGTATAAAATGAGTCATACGGCCTAACAAATCTATATATCTGCCTTTCCACCTGCGCATATTCATCAGTATGTTTTGTGCCTGTTCAATAGAAAATACGATAAAAACTGTTTTTCCTATAAAAAAAATAACGTGAATTTATCTCGAATTGAACTTTCCACTGACAGAACTGTGAAAATTTTCGAAAAGATTTTCGTCTTACAGTGTGATAAACGTTATTCTATCAAGAAAAAAACTGACTACATTTGGGCGATATAAGTAATAATTCCGTTTGTAGGTCTACTAGGATTGGGCAACAACAAGAGTAAAAGCTACAAGAGAAGGAAATATGACATGACGAAGAAACTGGTAAGGAACCATAGTAAACCAGAGAGACCACTCAAGGACCAGGAAGGTAAGCCAATCACTGAGATTCAAAAAGAGAGGAACAGATGGGTAGAACAATTCGAGGTATTCTTGAATAGATCAGCGCCATCGAATCCACCGGATATCTAAGCAATACACACCGGCATTTCTATAAATGTCACTCCCCTAACGATCAAAGAAATCAGGATGGCCATCAAAAAAATCAGGGGTTGTAAAGCAGCTGGACCTGACAGTAAACCAGCCGAAGCACTGAAGTAACTGCAATCATGCTCCACATTCTATTCAAGAAGATTTGGGATGATGAACGACAGCCAACAGATTGGAGACAAAGATGTCTCATTAAGATACGGAAGAAAGGAAATCTGAGCAAATGTGATTACTTGTAGTGTCGGTTGCTATGTAAAGCCCACATAGCTTATTCTAGCTTCCAGACAAGCCAATTTATCCATTATTCTTGAGTCGCACTTTGACCTTGTTAATTATTCGCTTATCAACATTGACTGACTATAAATATCGATTCACGCTTGGTTAAATCGAGTTGGTTTACACGCCTTCTCCACCGCTCGTCATTTCGTTTCGCTCACATCTCAGATCGTTAGTCTGGATCAACAGTTGTATGGAATATACATATTCAAACCCATTCTCGCATTTGATTTACTTAATTCCGTTATTCACCAACGCGAATTAAATCAATAATTATATACGAGGATTGGCGACATGAATATTTTAATAAAAATCATTCATACGATTATATTGAAGTCAGATAAAGAGCCACTAAGATCTACAGAGGCATCTCACTACTATCGGTACCAGAAAAAGTTTTCAACAGTGTTGCTGAACCGGATGAAAGATTCAGTAGACTCCCAACATCGAGATCAACAGACCGGACTCCGTAAGAATCGATCGTGCACAAACCAAATCGCCACACTACGGATCATCGTTGAACAATTAATTGAATGGGATTCGTCACTATGCATTAACGTCCATGAATATGAGGAAGCGTTTGATAGTGTGGATAGGAGAACCTTATGGGACCTTCTTTGACACTCTGATGTACCTGAGATGATCGTCGACATCACATGGAATTTATACGACGGATTACAGAGCAAAGTCATACATGGAGGACAACTGACAGACTCATTCTAAATGAGAACTCGAGTTAGACAAGGCTGCTTACTCTCTCCCTTTTCTCTTTCTTCTGGTGGTTGACTGGATTTTGAAGAACTCCGTATATGAGGGGAAGTACGGGACACAATGAATAACTTGCATGTAATGAGACAATTTGGACTTCAAAGATCACCTAACACACCAACAAATGTAGGTCAAGACAACCAGTGTTGCAGAAGCCTCTGAATCAATAGGCCTCAATATATACAAGGGAGAAACCACAATCCTCAAATACAACACGGAGAACACCAACCCAATAACACTTGATAGAGAAACCTTGAAATAAGTGGAAATTTTCATGTCTTGGACAGCACCATTGATGAACAAGAAGGATCTGTTGCAGATGTAAAGGTGAAGATTGGAAAATGAAGGGTCGCATTCCTACGGTTGAACAATATTTGGGACTGAAAAAAACTGACAACTAACATCAAAGTCACAATCTTCAGCACGAACAGCAAGACATTTCTACTGTACAGGGTTGAAACTTGGTGAACCACAACGAAATGTGCAGGTTTATAAACAGTTATCTACAAAAGATAATCTATATCCGTTGGTCGGATACAATCAGCAACAACCTACTGTGGGGAAAACAAACCAGCTTTCAGTTGAAGAGGAAATTAGGAAGAGACTCTGTAAGTGGATAGGACATATATTACGGAAACAATCAAACTACATCACGAGACAAGCACTAACTTTCAATCTTGAAGGGAAACGAAAAAGAGGAAGACAAAAGAACACATTGCGGCGGGAAACGAAAACAGACATGAAAAAGATGAATAGCAACTGGAAACGATTGTCTAGGACATTGTTCAGTGGAGAATGATGGTCAGTGGCCTATTCTCCTCCGCGATGAGTAACAGGTGTAAGTAAATAAGTATACAAGTAATACTTTCCTCGATCGATCGTCGAGTGTTAGTTCAATCATTGGCGTCGATTAATTTTATTGATCATTTCGAACATTTCAACCAGCTTACTAGCAACGTCTCTGACAGTGACACTGGATAACAAGGGTTTGAACTACGCAGTGAATTCATTGGCCCATAACTGTAGAAAAACTTTGTTGACTAGTCGAAACTATCGGGAAGTTTAGGTTCGTGGCATATTATTGTTTGTTTCCAGCCACTGAGCATACACTTTCTCCCATGTTCTGTTCATTTAAATAACCAAGTGGAAGTAACCAACATATAATAAAAACATACACTACGAAACAACATAATGAACGTTGATTGTTGTCATTTATAAGATTCGTAATGCAACTTGGATAGTAATTAATAGTTGTATTTTAGCGATCAGAGCCTTCAAATTTCAAACAGTAGTCAATGGTCCGAGTTTTTCCCTACATACTTTGTGTTAAGTATCCTGTTTGTATTACGCAGACGTCGTACTAAAGGTGTAACTGAAATCTGAGTAAATAAACCTATTATCAGGCAATAAATAATTATAACTATATATACATTTGAAATAATAAAAAGTAATTAAGTAGAATGATAAACGAGTGAGTAGAATCATGCTCAATAGTATGTTAAAAAGTGTAGAACAGAACGAAATATGCGGCGGTAAAAAGTGGTCATTAAGTGTAGAGAATACTCGTAAGTTACTAGTAGTTGATCACAGATGTCTTAGAAATATTGCTCGCATTTACTGGGATCACCGGGTAAGTAACAGTGAAGTTTGACACTAGGTATTAGGATTTATGGTAAATCAGTTCATGTGGTTGTGAAACTTCATCGACTAAGGTAGTTGGGACACGTACTACGCATGCCCAACTACCGATTATCATGGTACGCAATGATGATTAGTGTTGAAGACGGATGGAAGAAAGTTAGGGGCTACCAAACCAAAACGTGACATCAGTCCGTAAAGTCACTAACTTCTGATCTGAGCCATGTTGGGACATGCAGACTACTTGGTTGGGGACCGTGCGACTACCGTAAGCGGTAGTTGGAGACTGTGTGACATGGCTCAGAATCGATCACAATGACGTAGGTGTGTACATCTTTTGTCTGCCCTTAAACCATGAAATTAAAATTGCTTTACACCTTGTTTGTATGAACTAAGGCCTTCTACCTGTATCATATGTTTATATGCAATCTTTTTTAACGTATTACTACCATTGAAGTGACTAATTCTATAAATTTGGTACTTGTATTGTTGTGCTAATGAGGTATGGCAACTTGGATCGATGCACATATGTGCCTGGTTCTACGCTGTAGATGACTGACTGACTACTAAATAAAATTTTATCGAGTTAACAAGACTGGAATATTTCCCATTATTGTCTTACAAGTATGTTTTAAATCTATAAATTACTTAAGTTCCTTACGGTTAACATGAACATCTAAGGCATATAGCCTAATCGTTAACAGTATTTATTTTTTCTCATTCATATTCGGTTCTTGTGGACAAAATATCTATCGGTAGAAATATTTCAGTCTTAGAAAAAAAACGACGAAAAGCATTCACATAAATATATACTTACTGCTTTACATAACTTTTGGTTTTTCGATTTATGATATGCATGGTGATAATGATTATAGAAAAGTAATAGAAGACTGGCTTGATAAAACAAATTGATGTAATGTACAAATTCCTTCAGACCACATTGGTTGTAAAGTGAAATGTAAGAATAAAGCATTCCATAGCTAAATTGAATCTATATGAGTATAAGAAGGAGAAAACAAGTGTGATATGGAATCATTCAACTCTTTTTCTAAAAAAATACTTAGAGAAAGAAAATAATTAGGTATATTGAAAACTGAAAATTCCTATTCAATAAATAGCTTCGATTGGTTACATCCGTTTAAATTACCAACTTACAGTGAACATGATTTTGAGAGAATCGAAATAAATTTATAACTCAAAATCAAAAATAGAATTGTGTTTTGATGATATTGTCTAGAAAGACGACGAAAACTTTACAACTAAACCACCTATCTAACAGTGCGAATTCTTGTGAATTGTAGTTCATACGTTGTACAAGTCATTTGCTTTGGTATCTGAATCGAAAATACACTCCACATATAAGCAAAATGTTATTTACTAGACGCTAAGTCACATGTGTTTTATAAGGATTGGAATAATTGTCTAAGACAGATACAGAGTTATACCTGAAGATCTACCAGCTAAGTTTCAGTTATTTGAACCAATGAACTACAACATTAAGTAAACTTTATCGCGTCTGTGAGCTTTAAACTCGACTTCGCCGGATGAACTTCAGAGCTTTGGACCCCTGATGAAATTCGATTGCCAAGAAAATAAAAAAATCCTTGACAGGCGAAAATCTACTATTGAATACCGTTTATCAAATAAAAACTTCTGGTATCATACGTCATCAGCTGATGTTAGTTGGAAAATCAGAAGGCACTTGATAGTTATTTTGTCCTGATGTGGTAAGTCCTTCAAGAGATCAAACCTGAAACCTTTAAACTCTCACACAAAGTGATGATACCATGGATCCATAGACCCGAAGAGTACCGTTTAAAAAAAACTAGCCATCCAGATCTTTTTCTTCAAGGATTGTCTAAGATCTGTTGCTGATCCATATTATGAAAATTCAACAACCTCCTTCTAAATACTGAAAGTTGGTACTGTTTGTCGAAAATGGATCCAAGGAAAGGAAAGAAGAATAAAGTACAAAAACGTTTCTTTAAGTATATAAATTCTTTATATTCACCTACGAACTATATAATAATTCCATGTGACTTCATTTTCTTAAGAGAAAATTGAGATGAAACGACTAACGAAATAGTTTTTTAGTTCAAATTTATTTCATATAATCAGTTTGAATTGGCCAAAAAATCCTAAGGCATCTTTTTTGCAGTTTTTATTCTTTCTCTTAGTTTTTTGCTTTAGAGTTTCGTTGTTCACTTTATATGAATATAAATAAGTGCTGGATATATATACACTCAAATTGTACTTTGATAGTAATCAAACATGAAATTATTAAATTAACACTAAATTGACCTTCTAAATACAATTTATACACCTTTTGCCAAAGGTTTAATTGATGGTCTAGGATAAACGGACGAATTCTACGACCTATTGGCATTTGACAATTTGAAACATGTTTATGAACAATTTCAACCATGTAGTATAGTCCGCCAAATATACACATCAGATAAGATATTCCATTTTCTAAATGGTTAAATGTTATAAAATAATAGATAGCAATTGTTCATCACCAACAAAAAATGTAGTACACAAGTGTTAGCTTATTTTCGGAAAAAAAACAAACCATTTGTAGCATTGTTAGGTAACGTTTCCACCATAAGTATTTCCGCCATTTAGGTCCAAGAGCTGCAAATGCATAATAACTGTACATAATCACATGAATCGTGCAGTTGACTGCGACAGGTTGGAATATTTCACCCCCAGCTACCCATTTCACTCCGGCCCATGTTATCGGAATCATTGTACAATGGTGATAGACATGTAACCATGTGACAAGATGTGTTCGACCACGAATTATAAAAAAGAATGTATCTAAACATTCTATCACTTTTGATATATGAAATAACCAAATAGCTCGGACTAACTGTATAGCAAAATAGAAACAATTTCATATGTTACTTTCTTATTTCAAACAAAAGTAGTCGATAACTTATAGTGATGAAGATAGTTTCGTCACTACAGACTGGTCTTGGTTGAAGAGCTAGTAAAACAAAAAAGCATTGGATAAATGACCTGTTACGTTCCCAACTCCCTTAAAAGTGTATAGATCGAACACGGGACAGGTAGGTCTCACGGTTACCACTTTGATACCCATTTAGGTACTAAGAACAAATCATATCTTTTGACTTACATTTTTCATCTCCTATAGCTTACTATCATCCGATGAGTAACTGCCATTTACAGTACCATTTAAGTAGTCTGCATATAAATTTTGGCTTTATTTCTCTACTACACATTTAGTTATTTGAGAAATGGCTGTTCTTTTCTAATATTTATTCAGCCATAATTTGAAGCTAGAACTATTTGATTGTATGTATATGTATGCATGCCCCCAAATGCCCTGCTTCGGCCGAGAGTAAGCTCTCCCTCTGGAAATGCTCACACATAGCCACATGCATACAACCCCTGCCTTCTTGCAGCAGGATTGTTTATATAATTGAGAGGACAAAAAGCGAATGTCCGGCGCTTTAACCGGGTTGGTGGATACGGAGTATATACCTAGAGGAGTCAGAAAACCCTGATTCCAAACCAATGGTGTACATGAGCTGCAGGATCCCAACGAAATAAATGGCGTATGAATCTTTTTTTGGTTACGGTTATCACGGGACTGCATCTCCTAAAGTTGCTCCATTGCCTTGCGGATTAGACCTCTATGTCAAAGGCTTCAGGAGTGGCCTTCTGAGAGAACCATCTGCCTCGGTTTGGGAACACGGTCAAAATCCCAGCCCTCACATAAATCGAATGATTTATGTGGTGCATATCTATTAGGTGCCTCTATTTACCAATTTTTATGTGTTTAAATAAATATGTATGTGTAGTGGATAGCTATTTGTATCACTTCAGCTCTCATTTGTAAAATAATTTCAGCAATTTCATCATTTTATTTTAGTGTTTTCTCAAAGACATTGATGAAACGCAGTCTTTTGGTCGGACGCGTCGACAACTTCACTTATCTTGGAAGTCTGGTCGGCGCTAATGGGTTAGTGTCTGACGAAATCACTGCACGGATCCGAAAAGCTCGTTTAGCTTTCGCCAATTTACTTTACCTACGGTGAAGGAGAAATATCCGTCTATCAATTAAAGAACAAGTATACTGAGCGACAGTTCGTTCCGTTCTACTTTACGGCTAAAAAGCGCGGTCATTAAGTGTAGAGGATACTCGTAAGTTACTAGTAGTTGATCACAGATGTCTTAGAAATATTGCTCGCATTTACTGGGATTACCGGGTAAGTAATTATAACTATATATACATTTGAAATAATAAAAAGTAATTAAGTAGAATGATAAACGAGTGAGTAGAATCATGCTCAATAGTATGTTAAAAAGTGTAGAACAGAACGAAATATGCGGCGGTAAAAAGTGGTCATTAAGTGTAGAGAATACTCGTAAGTTACTAGTAGTTGATCACAGATGTCTTAGAAATATTGCTCGCATTTACTGGGATCACCGGGTAAGTAACAGTGAAGTTTGACACTAGGTATTAGGATTTATGGTAAATCAGTTCATGTGGTTGTGAAACTTCATCGACTAAGGTAGTTGGGACACGTACTACGCATGCCCAACTACCGATTATCATGGTACGCAATGATGATTAGTGTTGAAGACGGATGGAAGAAAGTTAGGGGCTACCAAACCAAAACGTGACATCAGTCCGTAAAGTCACTAACTTCTGATCTGAGCCATGTTGGGACATGCAGACTACTTGGTTGGGGACCGTGCGACTACCGTAAGCGGTAGTTGGAGACTGTGTGACATGGCTCAGAATCGATCACAATGACGTAGGTGTGTACATCTTTTGTCTGCCCTTAAACCATGAAATTAAAATTGCTTTACACCTTGTTTGTATGAACTAAGGCCTTCTACCTGTATCATATGTTTATATGCAATCTTTTTTAACGTATTACTACCATTGAAGTGACTAATTCTATAAATTTGGTACTTGTATTGTTGTGCTAATGAGGTATGGCAACTTGGATCGATGCACATATGTGCCTGGTTCTACGCTGTAAATGACTGACTTCTCAAGGTAAACGTCTGCACTTGCCCATTGAATTGCACCAATGTAGTTTAAATTGAAAACAAATTAATGGGCAACTTGTTCTAGTCAAAGAGCTAGTATTTTGGGTCGGAACACTAAAGAGGCGTTTGGCTTTGGTCAAAAAGTCCTTGCATAACTTTGGAAAGAATCGAATGTGCTCAAAAATATTAGCAAATTATTTCGGTTCAATTGTGCGTAGACATAACAAACAAAAGTTAATTACAAACGATACTAATGGCCTTACGAGGCAAATGAACACTGTAAGACAAGGCAAGATCAAGAAGAATTAGGTCAGCGTCAACAACGTGCAATGTTCCAGTGAAAGAAATGTCTTGAACCGACACTTGATGGTGACGCTGTCCTGCCAATGACAGGTTACTTACCCAGGCTCTTGTTACCTTTTGCCTAGTTACTTCGATTATGGTTTCTTCCAGAAAACTCCATATTTTATGTGATATGATAGTGATTTTAGGCACTGTTTTTACCTGCAAACGTACAAGTTGTTCGTTGATTACTGAAGTAGTAAATCCTCTGTAACTTACAAGCGTCTGTTATACTAGTTATATTTGTTTTGTGACCTGCTGATCATATGTAACATTTTAAGATTCTTCAACAGCTGGCAGCAAGGACTTAATTGAAAAATGATAATTTTATTCCAAAAAAGTGATGAAATATGTTTTCAGCCAAATGAACTTGACTACACGCTTTTAAGTGAGAACTTAAAGTTTTCATATTTAAAATATAGAGATATGATCTAAAATAAGTATTAACAACAGCTGTTATGCAAACATTTTAGCGAATCAGTCGTTAAAGGTATATATATTACGATATACACTATGTGTTCTCAATTTCCAGAAAATGGTTACTATGGGGCGTTTATGGAGATTTATTTAGTTGCACAATAAACTACGTGGACTGATCTTAATTAAAAAACCATATAAGGCTACTCGGTAGTGTCCATTCACGACCTCACTACCGAAAATCTTGCCTAAGACCTTCAGTGTCGAATCAATTTTAGATAAGTTTAATAGTTTTGAGCAATTTTTAAGCACAAAAGATGGCATATATTCTATAGATTGTCTATCTATGTGGTAAATCTTGTGAGATAATAAGGAATTAAACTATTAAGAAATCTCATAGTATGACTATCTAATTGCTCCGTATTTCTTAACACGAAACGTCTTAGATGTTAAAGTTGTTTTCGAACAAACGTAAGAGCCGGAATCTCTTGCTTTAATGAAAATTTAGTGACATACATACTGAGAACATTATTCACAAATGACAGTTCAATATTTTATTTCGTTATCTTACGCAACTTCTCTCTTATACACGAGCGGATATGATTTTCATTGAAAACTAGTTAACATTTAGAAAGTCTAAAATCTGTTTAAAACATTAGATCAAGTTTCGATAAATTAGAAAATTTCAGTAGTTAAGTCCAAAAGCATTAAGGGATACTATGAATCGGAATTTTCGAAAGATTAAATTCACCGATTCACTTCATAGATTATGTCCGTAAAGTCAACAAAACCTGTCAATCGACACGATTGATGTCAAAATAAATTATTTCATTTAGTAATTAATGGTATAGCACATAAAATTGTTTTGTATTATCAAACATTCTTTCCCAAAATAAATTTCTCATTGATGAATTTATATTAGATTAGTTTTTATTGCCTAGAAGACAACCTTACCGTAAAGATAAAAATGATTTACAAAAACTACGTTCTGTGATGATAAACAATAGACTGTTTTCTATTGCTTATGTACTGAGCACGAATTATTTGTCTGTACTTGTTTACACTAACCATAGTTATTGCTATTCAAAAAATTTCATGTGAATAAATGTATGTCACCTTTTGAGCGTCCTATAATTTCTAAAACTTAAAACTTGTCACTCAATCAATTTCTATCCAGTTTCAGGCTAAAGACTGTATCCGTAGAGCTTTGATTTAATGGTAACTCCATAGAAACTGGCTTGTCCTTCTGTGGTCACTTAAATCTGCCAAGATCAGCCGTCAGCTGAACGCTTTATAGACATATTTTTTCCAAATGCCTTCATGAACGTATAGATCTCGCTAACCACATGTATTGGAACAGAGCTCAATCCCAAAGCATTACTTTGCAAGCTGTTAACAATTCGACTATTTTAGGATATCCTTCCATTTGAGTATTGCATTGGTACAACTATCTAAGCCTACGTTTTAAAATTATAAAATTTCCTGTCGTCAGCGAATAATAATAATAAAATCTGAAATGCATCATCAAATTAATTTTGAAAAGCACCGATAGTAGAAAGACAATACGATAATTAATAAAAGTAAACGGGTTTCGTAAACAACAAATTACAGACTTCTGAAGAGTGATAAATAAAGTTATTAAATATGTTTTAGATGTAATATTCCTTAACCCACCAGATTTAAGTACTATACAATAAGAATATAAGCCACATAGCATAAGAAAATACAGAGGTCCTATAGTCCATAGAAGATTAATAAAGTAATGAAATAATCAGTGACAAACGGTACAACTCATGAAAATTTATCTCGGCATTCGTCCGCAATACTAAGCAGGTTGACTGTATGCTTTTAAGCGCATACCTTAGTTATAAAGGCAAAGGTATAATATAGCTGCAACGGTAGGTAAAGCCCTAAAGTAAACAGCTGTCAGTCTTTGATATTGATACTAATCATACAGGTTTAACTGGATACTCACAAACCGGAGATGCTCAGTTAAAGCATTCGTATCAAATCACTTTTCAATATTTCATGCAACGCAACTTCTTCGACAACCAGCCGTCTTAGATTCTATACGCTACGATACCCCTGCCTATAGTTCTGATATAACATCTTACATTACTTTCGATCTCTGATTTCACTGGTTTTTGAAACGTTTCGTTGAAAGACATTCCGAGAGTAATACTAACAAGTCTTGGGTGTTCAGTGTGTTTGGACAGTTTTCATACAACTATTCGTCGCCGGTATTATTAAACTCCAAGTATTTATCAGTTTTCAAATCTGAAGTCTACAGCTCAACAGAAAAAAAAGATGCTTGCAGCGGAATTTTCGGGTTTTAAACCTGAAATCGGAGATCACATGGGTACTAGTAGTTAGTAAACTGAAAAAGCAAAGACGATAAGCAGTGGTTCTTTTGGAGCTGTCATGACTAATCATTAGTAAGTGCTTATTTAATCAGGTGATAAGTTGTTGATAGGACAGTATTACGAACAGGGTTTAAACAAAAACCATAACGATAAAAAGATCTCAAAATAGAAAAACTTACTCTCAAAGCGTTAGGATTTGAGCTGTAATCAACCTTTTGACAATACAACGAATAATTTTCATTAAATGCGACTGCTATAGATTCATATAGCATATAGGCATTCATAACTACCATGATCCAATCATACACAACAACGAGTCCATTTATACGAAAAGGATTCCTTCCTTTCATGAACTTTAACCCATAATGAACTAATGTTAGGTAGGCAATGATCACATATAATAAACCATTCAATGAACTCATTAGGAACATCGAAGAGACTCTGGGGTCTATATGGGATACAAACACATCCTAATCGATAAATACCTGCTCTTTCCATGCTTGTTTTAAAAATCCTGTTCATCCAGTCAATATATTCACCTACTACGTTCATTTCCAATAGGCGATTAGAAACAGATGACAGAAAAGAATCTGTGTGATAATGTTCAATGATAAAATTAACTAATTAAAACAGAATTACACGAATCAGTTTTCAATATCTTTTGCCACAGGTTACTACAAACAGATTTATTTCTTTGTCTCTGTTTCTTTTCTTTTCGATAAAACTCTAAATATCTGGCAATGTACACTTGATCGCAGTCTAGCCATTTGATTGCACCAATTTGTGGATGTGTATACCTAACAATTCCAGTGAGCGCGATTTTCTCTGAGCAGTTGAGCTTTGGGATATCAGCAGCTATCACAGTGCTAGGCAGGAGGTTGGTTGGCTGCAATATGGAAAATAATAAAGTGGTAATTCGGGCGATATCAGGATCCGATCGTTTCAAAGAAAAAATCAATAAGTTGATTTATTAGTAATGAAGACAGTATGACAAGGCCGAAGTTAAAACGCATATAACAATAAGCGGAACAGAAGGTAGTTACTGAAATGTGAAAGTGATAACAATAGTATATCATGAGACATTAATTCGGCACGACTGATCCACGTGGGAGAAGGTAATCTGTGGATGAGTACATGTTTGTCAAATCTCCTATTTAAGCTACACACTGAGGAAGCTACGTTTACCTCTACTAAGAGAGCACATCTAGTTATGGCGACTTCAAATCAAAAAGTGGGGGGGGGGTACCCGGTGTTTTCATTCTCTGGTATGCAATCTTTTAAGCGTCGCCCCAAATAATATGTTGGTAATTTGTTGACAGGATATTGATGTTGGGATGATTCGGTGCTGGCGCGAAATTTCAAAGTAGTAACGATTTTCATCCTATCTTGTATATCGAGCACATTTTGCCCCAGGAAAATAATTTCAACGGACGGTTTCTAATTAATACACGAATATTGCGTACTTTGTTTCCTTCATACCTTGTATAAGCCTCCAGTAATTTACATTGACGCATCTCTGTCTTTTGATCATACTAATTGGAATAAATATTTTCCAATGATCGCTACTGCGTTATAACCGAACACCTTATATTTGAAATACGTTATATACAGATAGTTTCTGATCTTAGCATTAGCCTGGTTAATACTTAACAATAACTATGGACTCAGCTATTCTATTTAATTTAACGAGCCTTCTACTTATAGCGACTTACGTGCAATTGAGTTTAGTTCAGTCAAGGTCTTTTGTTGACCTATTTAATGGACAAAGTCATCCATGATATAACAACTTGTTGTACTATCTTTATTATTATGCTTGTATGAAATACATATGCTTGAACATTGTTTAGCGCCTACGCATGTATTCATTCGGCTAGCTTCATTATTAACTGCTTAATCTATTCGCTGACTCATCCATTTTCCTATACATATATATATGTGTACATTTGCACCCATTTACTACTACTACCACTACCACAACTACTTGCTACTGCTACAATCGTAGTTCGCTTGCTCATTCATTTTGCCTCTCTGCTGTCTGGTCCGAATCATCTGCTAAATAAACTGTAGTAGCTGCTTCTTTTTGCCTTCTGATTTCAAACATGGTTGAAGATTATACGATAACGGTTCAAGGGTGATTAATTATCGAAGCACAGTCACTACATATTCACCAAGCTTCAAATTATGACAAGTAACTCTAGTAAAAGAGAAATTTCATCAAATTTTAAGTCAAATAATAGGTCAACATCTGTAACCTCTATGACTGATGATTCAATACCTGACAATGTTGAGCCTTTATCTTCTGAACCCTGAACAAATATCACTATTACTACTTGATTCTCCTCTTGACAACCCCCCTATCTTTTTGTACAGTATGCTGGCGGTAAGACTGGCTGACATAAAGGCAATATACCCACGTGCATCAGAAAGTCAACACAGTCTACCAGACAGCATGTTTTACTAAGGCCTAAATCTAAAATTCTAAAAACCAAAGCGTCTAATAGCTTATCTCATACATACGAAAACATTGATCGACATAGCACTGACATCCGTCAGTTACAAAACTCTCTAGTCGAATTTAACGGTAGACTTAGACAAGTAACGACCCCCACACACATATGAGACCTTAATACTGATAAAAATTTTGAGCAACTCATTAAAGCTGAGTGTATTTTGGAGTTTGTGCCTGAAGAAGTGGTGAAAAGAGTGATGTCATCCTACAAAGCAGTTGCCTACAATCTCCCTGACCTCACACACCAAAATAAGTTAAGGGATATTTGCCTTATAGCATGCGTATAGTAAACGCCAACTGCCAAGTCATCCGTTTTGGAAAAAGTTAGACAGATAGACATGCCCTCTACTGTTTAGATTTTGCTGTTGTAACGATGCTAAACAGTTTATTGATTCGAGCAAAAATATTAGCTCAGTAATTCCATACAAAGCACAAAAGTCACTCCAGACCCTACGCCCTGTCAACGTCGTGTAAGAAGACGTGAAGTGATAGGATTGCATGGTAATGTTGAAGTAAATAATCAGCTAGAGACAATTTTCAGCACAGTAAATAGATAAAAGCACATGAACAGTAAGCATGACATCACTCCACAAATGGCAGTTCACTCTGTAGATCTAGATGCGTCTGCTGATCAGAAACCTTTGGATAAGATACGGACACCAACTGTCACCAAAAAGCATAACGACATGTCTAATCCCGGCTGTTCGCTCAGTAAAGTACTAAACTGTGGGCTGTGTGACAACCTACATCAAACTAAACATATACACTTGATAATTAGACCCCCTAAATATACTCCACAAGTTGGCTCGAATGAACCCAAATTCATCTCACAGAGACGACGAAACTATCCGGCTCTGACGAAAAAGGGTGGGAAGACAAGTCTCAGGATACCGAACAAGGAAACACGTAAGATTGAACCCAACTGCTCTATAGATATCCCAACGACAGTGAACAGGTTCTCCCCGCTGATATCATATAACCTGACATCAGCACCTCTTAGTTGCGAAACGGGTAGTAGGCTTGAGCGTAACAAGTCCTTTTACACGCAGACTAACAAAACTACCAGAGTACTGATAATTCCACTCACCCTCTAAAGCCTAAAACCATTATGAGCCATTATAATAATAGGTTTCTCACCCCACATTCAGTCTAGATTCCCCAGGATCACAACTGTAATTACTCTCGGGAAGAAAACTTTTCACACCCTTCAGTACCAACCCACTACATAAAAATGGCTTCTATGTCTACCTACAGTTACGTGCAGCAGACCCTCCTCACACTCACACTAACGTAAGTAGCTATAACAGAGCCTACGAACTCAAACATCAAGACCATTTTGCAAATAACAATACACCTCACAGTCGGCCTGCACCAGATTATTTTTTGAATACGGTCCCTAATGGCACGAAGCAAACAGCCCATGCCATTTCAAACCACATGCGGAACATAAACTTGCTTCCTCCGTACGGTTTACATCGGAGAGTACTCCCACCATTTCCTCCTGGGTAAACTCCTCAAGCAACTTCACTGTCTCATTTGACACATCCACCACTAACTCTAGCAATTCAAATATCGAGCTACTGAAGACCATTCAATACTTCACTTTTAACCCACATCATACCCGCAAGGGCTATGGCAACTTTAATCGAGATACTCTCACCCGTTTTAACTTTGTAGGCCACTTGTTTAATATGTGTCATATCAATGCTAGGTCGATTTGCAATAAAAAGATGGATTTAGCCCTGTTTGCATCCATATATAAACCATTGCTTATAATGATATCTAAAACATGAACTGACAGTAATCTTTCCAACTTACATAGATCTCTTGATAACTATTTACTATGTCGGAGTGATAAGTTGAGAGGGCGAGGCGGAGAGTGCTTTATTTACGGTCACTATATTATGTGATATGCCTGAATTAAACAAACTGAAGGATTTGGTGTGAATTGTTTTAAAGCCATCAATTTCCGTTATCTTACTGTTCGTCTGTGTCTACCGTCAATCTAACGCATCAACAGGTGAAACAACAGTATTATGGGAAGTATTCACACTAGCACCATCCCTCCCATTCACAGGAAAGTTCATTTGTGGTGACTTCAACATGCCTGAAATTTCATGGTTCCCAGCCAAGGCGCCAAAAAGTTATTAGTCATTTATTGAATGTCTAGAGCTTGGACAGTGTACTCAGTATGTCAGTAGCTCCACCAGACATCAAAATATCTTGGACTTAGTTTTTACCAGTGGCCTCACCCCGATACCGTGTATATTGAAAAAAGGTCTCCAGGTAGTGATCATAACATTGTCATATGTAGCCTCAATATAAAAACCATAACCGGTAGAAGTAAAACTGTATCACTTCGGAGAAACTATCGCATGGTTGATTGGAATAACTTCCACAATTACCTAAGAAGCACTGATAGGGGAACTTTCTTTACTGCAAACAATGCCGACACACTAATCAATATATTTTATCACAACATCGGAAGTACCATCAACAGATCGCACCTTTAGAATGCCGGAGACCTAAGTTCTCTAAAGATCTGCACATACCGGTTAGTTCACGAAGACGTATTCCAAGAAATTGTACTCGATTCCACAACTCCAATGACTTTTCCCCTTTAGTAACGATGACAGAAAAGTTTGTCCGAACAGAGACAATACGTACACAAAAGACAGTAGCACAAAAGAAACGTGCTGTAGAACTTAATAATAACTCCTCTGCACTCACAATACTCTTTCAAAGTAAACTTAAACGTTCTAAATCGAGAGGGGACATATTTATTAAATATAAACAAGTATACGGAGATCCTAAACTTGTTACGGAACTATTTAGTGCACACTTATGTTTCGCATTAACTAAAGGAAAACCAATAAATGATTTAGAACCAATCCAAGCACCTCCCTGTAAAATTACTAGTGTTGACTTCAAAGTACAAAATATCTATAAGGCAATTAGTACATTGAAACAATTGTGATAATTAGAAGTATTTGCATTATAGTACAAAATAAGAATCCCAGAAAAAACTCAATTAGAACGAGAAGTACTATATAACCACGAACGAATGTACAGCATTTCGAATTTGAATTCAAGCATTCAACAAGTACAAAGGAATCACTGGTTCAAACACCACATCCGCCACAGCTTAAATTAGAGGCAAAGTGTCTGTAAACGACATTACGTCTTCTTCATAAGTTCATCCTGTGTCTGTCCGACAGTGAATTGGGCAAAAATCTGTATTATATAGAATGCACTTATTAGTATTAGAATTAACAACCGAAATCGGAACATACTCACATGCTTCCTGGAATTGTGTACAATCACCATGTCGATTGTGTGCTGAAACCGCTGCTACCTAGAATTTGAACCACAGATTTTCCAACAACATCCACCCCCATGAAATAATGTTGGATCTTCATATCCCCAAGTTATGAATGATCTGGCTTCATTTTAAACATGTTTTCCACATTGAATAGAGTATACATTTGAAGTGACTTCTTGATAACGATTTACAGCAATTGATATGAAATCATCCGAATTGTGAT